GTGGTCACGGCCGACAATGAAGTGCGTGGCGCCGTGGTTCTTGCGGATGATGGCGTGCCAGATGGCCTCGCGGGGACCGCCCATGCGCATGGCCAGGGGTAGCAGGGCCAGGGCGGCCATGCCGTTGGGGTATCTGGGGAGGAGGGCCTTGTAGACGCGGACACGGGTGAAGTGGTCAATGTCACCGGGCTTGGTCATGCCGACGACGGGGTGGATAAGGACGTTGGCTTGTTGGGAGCGGGCGGCGCGGACAGTGAGCTCTCTGTGGGCGCGGTGCATGGGGTTGCGAGTCTGGAAAGCGACGACCTTGTTCCAGCCGAGCTTCTCAAAGTGCTGTCTCAACTCGGCGGGAGTGACTTTTGATACTCGTTAGTCTCGATGTTGTGGGTTTGCTGCGTTGATATGCGCCAAGGGCATGGTGGACTTACATCTGAGGTCGAGGAAGTCGTAGTGAGCAAGACGCTGGATAGCCTCGAGCTTACCGCCAACGTAAAAGTCGTTGGTATTGTTGAAGAGGTGCTTCACACCGGGGTGGGTGTCGTCGTCGCTGCCAAAGACCTCAATGGCCTCCTTGACTCTAGAGAAACATGTCAGCCGATGCCAATTCCCTGAAGACATGTTTGACCTACCTGTCGGGCTTGTAGACATCCTCAACGGTAAGGATGGCAAGGTTACGGTCGTCTCTAAGGTCGCGGAGGGTGATGCGCGCACCGGGCTTGATGGAGAGGGTGTCGATCTGCTGCTGGGAGACATCGAGGGTGATGGGCATGGAGAAGAGAGCGCCATCGGCGAGACGGTTGTCCTTGACGACTCTGCACCAATCATGTTAGCAACCAGCATCTTCTGGGGAGCAAGTCTTGTTCGCATGTTCAACGTACCCATTGTAGTCCTTCTCGGTCATGAAACCTATAGAGATGCCACCACAGTCAGTCCCGCTGTTCTTGGGCGAGCAACGTAATCGTGGGGAACTTTGCCCCTCCAAAAAAAATCATGGCGGGGTCGTTTCCGCAGCGCAACCCCACCACCCTCGTCGCGCAACGGATGCAGAAGGGGGGCAACCGCCGCCGCAGCAGCCAGCAGAAAGTAGCAGCAACAGCGCGGGCAGTAAACACCACGTACCTTCGAGAGGAGAGAAGCCACCGTTGAGGATCAGCTCAAGATCGCAGAGGTGACGCTCGGTCAACAGGAGAGAAGGGAGCTTGTCGGCCTCGGCTAACAGCTCAGACTGGCGGGGCGCATCGCGCGCGAAAAGGTCCTTGAGGACACCGCCGTGGGGAGAGTTGGCCATTGTGTATGTCTTTGAAGAAAGCGCGAAGCTTTGTAATAGGGAGCGGGTTATTATGGGATCGTCAAAAGACACACTCTAGACGATGCTTAGAGAGGAAGAGAGAGAACACACAACGAATTGAGCCTGCAGCTTCTCGTTGTAAAGGGAATATTGGGTATAAAAAGGTAGATGGGAGGGGATTCACGGATGAAGTAGAAGAGACAGGAGAACAAGCGGGAGAGGGAATCTGGCGAGGAGACGGGCGAGGGCAAAGGTGTCTTTTATTCTCCTCAGACACACAGACAGAAGGACAGAGACAAAGTGAGAGAATTGTCGCTCGTTCCCGGCGTCAAGTCGGCCTTGCGTGTGTTGCTGAGGTGCGCTGCTGGTGCTGTACGGATACCCCGTTGTCCAAGGTAAAAATTGGAGGCTGTTTAGTTCAAATGACGTGATCGCTACCTTGCACATGTACCCTCCTTGGCGGCATGCCATGTACTCTTAATTACCAATGTTGGCTCTTTGTAGCCCTCTCTGCCGCAGTCAGCCACGACTAAGTCATGTTCGCCACGATAAGTTACCGTAAGGTCCCATCCCATCCCATCCCATGCCGTCCGAAAAGAGACTTGGTCGCGGTGCGTAGCCGCGGAAAAAGTCTGCTCTTCTCCATGCTGTTGCATGTCTGACCCGGAGACTGACCCTGGGAGATCCATGAAGCCGTGGGGTCGCTGTTTTGCAATGTCGCGGCTCGGTGTTCCGGCATCTTTTTGGCGTCGGGACGGGTATTGGTAATAACCTACTCCAGGTCTGACAGAACACCTCAACCCAGCCTGACCACCCCATGTTTACATTGCGTCGAAGAGTAAAGCAGAGGCTTCTTGGAATAGCGTAGAAACTTGCGATACCAGCGCAATGAGTTCTTCATCAAGGGTCCTCGTCGGTGGTATGGCGCAACGAAGATTGCCAATTCAAAGTACCCCGCCAAATGTGGCTTGATAAGCCCCGATATCGATCATCAGGGACCCTGCGCCACGTTCTACCCTCGTCCCGACTCCCGGCAACGCGCCATTGCAAGACAATTTCGTGCCAGAAGTTGCAGGACAAGCCGCAGAGACGTTGTCAAAGTTGCAATTCCTGCCTCATCTGGCGTGCTGGCGCCCAGCCTCTTGGCTTAGACTAGACACCTGTAACCTCACCTTGAAGAGCTCGCCAACAGAAGGGCTGAGAATACCAAGCGTCTTCCGCCCTTGGCTGCTCTTGGCGCCCTATCAACGTCCAAGACTCGAGACGTATGTCAAATCTGTATTGTAGAAGACCGTGATGGCCTCTTGCGCGCCATTCAGATTGTCACGATGGCGACATGCCGCTCTCTGCAGAACTTCCGTTGTGTTTCTTGGCACATGTCGTTCCAGACTAGAAGTCATTGAACGTGCTACAGAACGGTATGCTGGCCAGTCCAACGTGGACCTGATCCTTTGGATAGGCTTTTGACAGCAGCTTATCTAAAAGCTTGTAGATCTCGTCCAAGAATATCGTGTCTCGACTTGGACCGTTTCGATCTCTTTGCTACGAAGTGCAATCGGTCAGCTCGGTGAGGGTGGTGGGGTAGCCCCGACGTCCGCGTCGATCGGCTGCGCGGTTGTCGGTTGCCGGCCCCCGGCTGCCGGCTGCGGGGTTAGCCCGATGTCGCTTGACACACCGAGATCCCTTGCTCCAGTTCTTTCCTCTATGCCGTGGACATTGATGACATTCCGTGTCCACTCCTTGGCCGCCATGCTCCACCGCCAGCCAAGTTCCCGAGACTAAGTTCCTGAAGATCTATGGCTCCGGAACTTCATTGGCTATTCGTTGTGGTGGATATTCTTCTTCGCGGAATCTTGTCGCCATGGAGTTTCGCCCACTCAATTCCACAATACTGAGCGTAGATCATCGAGAAGTGAAAACTCGGATATCCTATGACGCCAGAGGTACGATAGGGGCTAGATTCGTAAGGATCCAGTATTCAGGTTGTCCCTCTTTGGGGAATTTCTATTAGTAAAACCTCGCGTTTCTCCCCCCAGTTTTGGTTTCGTTGAAGTTGTCTGATTGGATTTTATGGTCGTTGGATGCAACTGTCCGAATAAATACTCGTGCCGTTTTTTATTCTTCTGCGTTTAGCCATAAAAACCTTCCAAGCTCGAACTGTACACTTGCAAGCCTTTCAAAGGGACAGAATACCCTTAAGTGAAGATGTCCTTCGACAAGTTTCATCACACCACACAAAGGCCTCCACGTAGGATTCTTGCGCTGACGCGATCGCCAGCACCTTCGGATACACCACTAGCACGCCTCCAGGTCCAAGTGCTCTAGTTCGAGGTTTCACATGCCCAGAATGATCTCTCCGTCCTCCAGATACGAGAACTTCGACGAACCAGGGACGAGCGAGCTTCTTCGCTTTCTTTGATGCCTTGCCATTACTCATTTCGTCAATCAAGATCAAACCATCATTGGTCGTGACCTCATCACGCTTCGCTGGAGCGTTCATACGTATTCCCATAGCATTGATGAGACTTCTCTGGCGGTAGCAGTGGTATTGATGCCGACGGCTGAGTTTGTGTTCAGACTGAGCGAACTGTTACCTGGCGCTCACATATTGGCGTTGTCAAGTTTTCGAAAAGACACAGCGCAATCCCTTCTCAAAACAGTCGGCTATTGATTGTAGTTTCAACGAGGTGAATGGTATCTGAGTTCGTATGCTTCTGGTGGTTTTGGAACGCATACCGCCTGGCAATGCAGTCCGATATCAATATTCAATTCATCGACTCCGTGGCTCCACGAGTAAAAGCTAGCGGAGACCGGTTTTGCAGTCAGTCAACTGTGGTGAGGAATACTCACCGTCATTTATGAGAGGATTCCTGTCATTGGAGCAAATTGAAGCAGAGCATATAGGCAATTGGCCAAGTTTGCGGCCCTGCCTGATGCCCCTTGAACGATATTGATAAGGCTGCTGGACGTAACGGGCTCTAGCCGTGCTGGTAATGGGTGCAATGCAGCAGTGCAGCTCCTGAACGAAATGTTCTGCTCGCCAGAATTCTCAAGTCGCCTAGCGGTCATCTGGGCTCGAGCCAGCAATTGCAGGAACGACGAAAACCCAAGCTTCGGCCTCTTCCTGTGATTCGAATAGAGACAGAGCAGCCTAGCATGGAAGAATGAACGTTGGATGACTCGACCGTATTTGAGACTCGATGCTCGTCCAGATACCCTTCAACCAGATTCGAGAGCCGGCTAAGCGAATGGCCATTTTCTTTGTATGGTGTCTGGGTTGTCGCAAAGTGATGAAGTCATAGTTCCGCGCCGTCTCTTCGCGAATTCTACATGCCTGTGTCTCGAAGCCACCGCTAGGCAAATGGGGCGTTGCTAAGCAGGGGGTTTGCCGACTGAGAAATCAGCCGGTACCAGCATTTCTCGACTGTGAATCTCGATGCCAACTTCTTTTCCATCGAAGGATTTCGTGGCAGAAAGGGTAGATCGGCTAGACCTGTCCATTCCATGGAGCTGTATCGATGCAGCGTGCCGTCTGGACTCAAGGCGGCTCTAGGGCAAGCCGCCCCGGAGGTTTACACCTCTTAGACGCTTCAGAATGTAGCCAGACCTCGTGGCAGAAGTACTTCTGACCAATGACGATGCAGCACGAGGGAGATGGAGTCGAGTTGCAGACCAGTGGTCGGGAGATGGACACGCAGATCTGCGGTGAGTGTTAGCTTAAAAACGTTTGGCAGCAGGGGGATGGGATATCCCGGCTCGTTTGGGAGAGAAAAGGCTTGGATTGGCGGATTTGGTGCTGGGCATCGTTGGCAAGCTTCTCAGGTGGCTGGGGATGGACGTCGAGTGGAATGGGTTTCCCGCCGTGGTGGAGTACGATGGGGTCTTGTTTCTCGAATGGCGAACGCAACGGTTGAGGATTCGGGAGACGCTGCTCCCGCCTAACAGTTCTTGATGTCTTGCTCTTGAATAGTACTCGGAACGGATATTCGTTGGCAACGGAGCGGGAAACTTTGAAAAATGCCAAAGATGGCGCGCCTGATGCGCACGTGTATCCGTAATGTGTCTGGCACGCCGCACTCCGGACTAAGGCGGCAAAGACGGGTTTGAATTGTCTTGGACGCCGAGGCTTTGGGAAGCCGCAAGCTGCGTTTAGGTCGGTAGCGTCCCGGATCAGCGGTGGTTGAATACCTAGCTCGCCATTGACGATTCGTGTGGCTGGTTTCAGACCAAGTCGAACTCTTTGTGTACTCCGTACGAGCACAAATATGTGAGTGACGAAATGATTGTAACGAGTCCAAGTCGACCATGGATGCAGTTTATTAGAATTGGCTTGCGGTCGGACAGAGCTTCTGAGTAGGGATGAGAAATCGGTATGTTGACAATCTAAAGAGAGAAAGTTGCCCCACGCAACCTCAGTTGAAGCAGAAATACGGAGCAAGAGAAGAGTCCGATGCAGACTCGGTCTTTCGATGATTGATGGCTGGAGGATGGAAGCGAAAGAAGATCGCGGCGCCGCCGAAGCATGGGCCAACGGCCAGGTCAGAGCTCTTCCCATTAGAGTAGTCAGGTACGTACCGCTCTGCCCAGAACAGCAAGCTGCTTTTCCCTACCTTACCTTAGGTGAGGTTAAGATGGCAGCAGGGTGGCTAGAGCGTAAGCGGCTAGAGTGTGGTAGAAATTGACAGAGATTCCGTTAGGTCAATGATCTTAGCGGTCCGACCGATCCGAAGAGGCTTTTCCACAGGGAACATACCGACTTTCCAAGAATTGGTCTCAACGTACCTGAATGTGAGGGTTGCACCAAGTATCATCGCCTGAATATCACGCCCGGGTACATAATGCACCCGCTATGCATGCCTGATTTCCGATGAAGCTGAGCTGATGCATGGGAGCTGTAGGTATCTTCGCACCTAGTGACCTGGCCCAATGGATTCGACGTCAGTGGTTATCGCCAGAATACCTACGTGTATCCATAGTGCAGGGAGAAAGGTAGGGAATATGGAAGAGCCTGGTAGGAATCGATACATATCTTAGGTTGCGTATGTGGTTGTTGTTTGTGCGGAGAGTGACATGTGTCATTGGGAATTGTGCTATCAACCTTGTTTTCCTGCCCGAGTGCTGCAGCAAACTAGGCCCGGATGCCGCCGCCATCGTCTTCTCGGGTTCCTTTTACTCGCACACGTTTTTCACTCATGTTGCCTTGGATCAAGATGAATCGCCTGGGATGCTTCACAGGTTTCAATCGCTCGCAATGCCCAATACCAGTGGCCAGAGTGACCAGACTCCCAGAGCAGGTCTTCGTACCGCTAAGTAGCGCCGTGCGTGCTGATGCCATCCATGATCCCGGCGCCATTACCCCTGCCCCCGTATCCCGGTTTCGACCAGTTTCGGGCAGGTCGAGCTGCAAAGGAAAACAATCCACCACCCATTCGTGCTCCATCTGCCCTTGTCCGTCGACGGTTTGCCGGTTCCAGGCCAGGGCCCATGAAATGGCATTCCAAACCAGACATCTTGCCCAGGTATTCCTACACTAAATGCTAAGTGTGTGCTGAGGTGGGTAAGGTAGATAGGTACCTCTGTTACCGCCCGCCCAGGCACACACACCGTACCGCTGTAGAATCATCATATGAATACGAGATATCCCTTCCTCACTCTTTCTCACCATCCACTCTCGTCCATTCGTTCACCCATGTCTGCAGCCTGCCTGTGCCTCTCTTCTCCAGGCCCTCTCCTCCCTTCTACTCCTACAGAATACTCCTCCTGCCTCTCCCAGCTCACTCGTCAGCTTCTACCCCAGACTATATTCGTATCCGGTTCTGACCTGATCCCGCCTTCGCCTTGTTCTTAACCGATCCGGTTCGAGCAACCGCCGTCTGCAAGTGTCCGCTGTCGCGCCCGATTTACCACTGCGGATACAATTGCAGTCTGCGGCTTACTGGAGTCTGGCTTCCCTGTTTGGCTGAATCACACCCCAAATCCAGAATCACACCAGCGCCCTGCCGGTCCGCTCATCCTTGCCGTCGGTTCTACGCCGATTTGGGGACAATCTTGAACATCAAAGACAACACCCCTGCAAGACGGCCATTATCTTGCACTTGCCTCCCGCCACTACGGACCCTTCTCGCCCCTACCTTGCCGCTCTTCTCCTGAGGTTTTTCTACGCGCGCCGTCAAAACACAGTCGATAATCCAACAAACAACAATTTCTCTAGCAATCTTCACGACAACTCGGCTCCATTACTCCGTACCCTTTGTGCCGTTGCCCCAGCAGGATATTGCTTCGACCTCACGCAGAAACGTACTAGTCGCTCGACATCCTAGTCGAAGCACCCCAAACACCTCCATCTCGTCTCGGACAGGACCCTAAGCTCTCCACCATTCATCAAGGCACTTTCTGCTGCTTCGGGAAGCCCACTTACGATCTTCCGTGTCCTCCGAGCCACCTCCAAACTTCGACCCAGCCAAGGCATGCGACACAACTGAATACCTACATGTCTTTTGCCATTGCTTCTCAGCACTTGGTTCGATTTCCTCCAGACATCACCGCTCCCACTACGACATAAACCGCATTCGCCGTCTTTGTGTGCACACCCATCAGCATCCTTCGGGCATACCAGCCCAGGAGTTTCCGAATCGCCCGGTCGCTCCTGTGCGCCAACCGCCCACGATGGCCCGATTCGGAGGCTCGACTTCGCTCGCCGCGACCCTGATCGTTCTGTTCAGTTTCTTTGCTACGATCTTGGCAGCCACGGAAACTGTCTACATCACCGGCTCAGATAAAGATGGCAACAGCAAGCAGCTCGCGGTCAATCGCAATCCTGGCCTGTTCACTGGCGATTTTGGCGACTGTCTGGGAGGACAAAGTTTGTTCAACATTACAAAATTCGATGCCGCCTACTATGCCGACAATATGACCGTCCAGTTCCACTTGGACGGTACGACCAATATCAGAAACGAATCATTAATGAGTAGGTTGAACCAATCTGAACTTTTATCCATGTACTAATCACATATTGCAGTGCATATCAACGTCGAAGCTTGTAAGCTACATTCAAAACTTGGGACGAACCTATACGCAGAGATGGGGTATGCTGACTTGAGGCAGATGGCGAGACGAGATTCGAGATGAACTTTAACCCCTGCATGGCCAACATCGCTAGGTGCGTTCTAGCCCTGACGCCTCTCAAGACGGTCTGCTAACTTCCCGCAGTCTGTGCCCTCTGAACGCCAGCAAGCCCATCACTGCATTTGCAGAGTTCAGACTCACGCCTGCTCAGATCGACGGCATTCCTTCCATCGCCCTCGATATTCCCGATTTCGAAGGTTCTGCGCGCATCCAGATCTTTGCAAACTCGAGTCAGACGCAGATAGGTTGTTTCCAAGCCGTCATGCGGAACGGCAATAGCTTCTCCCACCCGGCCGCGATTTCATCGATACTGGGCGTGTTCACGCTCGCCGCGATCCTGGCTTCTGCAGCAACCGCCATGTATGGTGTTAGCATGCCTCATATTAGGACACACTACGCCCATTCTCTGTCAGTCCTGGTCATCTTCGAGACTTATCAGACCGTTTTCTTCTCGGGTGCCTTGTCCGTCGACTGGCCTAGCGTCCTCCCCGCCTGGTGGAGCAATTTTGGATGGGCCGCCGGCATGATATACAGCGAAAAAGTAATCAACTCGATCGACGGTTTCGCCGGCGTGACTGGTAATGCCAGCCAAGTAGGTGGTGCAGGATCGACCGTTATCAACACCGGGGGTGGCCTCGTCCAGCAAATTTATGGCCGCTCGCTCGACACTTTCTCGACGTCTAGCGATGGAGCGCCCGTTCCGAATCTCGTGCAGCGAGCGACTAGGGTTTACAACACAAGCAATCCATACGAATACTACTGGGCGGGAGACCCCGTCGCTCCGGGCATGCCTACACCGGGCAAGTGGATTGGATTCGCCGGAGACCTTTCTGCCCTGGGCATTCCGGCCGCCGATGCTTTCACACTTGGTCTTATCTGGTGGTTGGTGGCCATTGGACTGGTTGCCGTCTCCATCGCTGCGTTCAAGTTCATGCTCGACTTGCTTGCTCGGACAAAGCTGATCAAACAGGATCGCTTCTTGTACTTCCGCAACCACCTGGGCGGATATCTGGCAGTTGGTGTCCTGCGCACGCTACTCATTTCGTTCTCCTCCTTGATGACCCTGGCGCTATTCCAGTTCAATATTCGCGCGCCGGCCGGCCCGACAGCTATCGCCGCGATCATCTTCATCATCTTGCTCATTGGCGTTGGCGGCCTTGTAGCCTACGCATGTTTCTTCCGTCTCCGCCTCGGCAAGTATGAAATGGGCCCCGATACGATCATGTTCGAACAGGGCAAGCTCTTTGGTTCAATACCAGCGGTTGCAACAACGCGTGCCAGCGAAATTGGCGAAAAGGAAACCACCGCCAAACGTTACGGATCCCTCCCGTTCTTCAAGATCCGATTTATTGACGACGACCCAGACCGGACAACGGTCCACCAAGACGAGGTTTACATCAAACGTTTTGGTTGGCTATCGGCTCGTTACCGCCGGACCAGATGGTGGTTCTTCGCCTGCTGGCTAAGCTACCAATTCATTCGGGCCTGCTTCATTGGTGGCGGAGCACGAAGCCCCCTTGCCCAAGTTTATGGATTATTCGTCTTCGAGATCATCGCTTTCGTTGTCTTTGTCAAGCTCAACCCCTTCGAGGGCCAAAGAAACACTTCCTTGGCAATCTGGATGCTGGGCATCACAAAGATTGTCACTGCAGGATTTTCTATTGCCTTCTTACCCGCATTCGCCATTGGTCGCATCCTCTCTACGGTTTTCGGCATTATCATCATTGTCGTCCAAGGATTCCTTGTTGTTGCCGTCTTGATTCTTATTGTCCTAGGTGCCATATCATCATGGATGTCGCTTTACCGAAATCGCGAACAGTTCCCCGAAGTGCTGGATGGAATTCGCATCAAGTACTACGAGCATATCCAGGCTAGAGCCACTGACCTGCCGCCACCACCGAAACCAGATCCGAAGATTGAAGAGCCTCGGGAGCCACCGCAGCCATATTTCTCGGTCAACAATGTTCGCCGGACTCGCAAGATTGAGGACGATGACGAAGAAGACCAGGTTGGAGATATCATTCGGCCGGCCAATGCTTCAGTAGTACAATTTGCGCCAGGTACTACCACCACCCGACGAACCCGGACAGATAGTGTCAGCTCGCGCTACTCTGTTGGTAGTTTGCCGCGCCGCGCCAGACCACACCGCACTTCATGGAGTTCAGCTGATTTTGCTGAATGGGATGCCAACAATAATGCGGATCGGCCGGGATCATCGCTCGCACACCGCAGCAGCTTCGGTCATCAGCGCAAAGTGTCGCACTCTGGATCACAACCTGACCTCGGACGCTCCGCCAACAACTCGCCGGCGCCTGCAAGATCGGTGTCGATGACGAACAACGAGTTGCGCCGTCTCATGACTCCCACCGAGGAACTTCCAGAGGAGAGTGTAATGACACCCGGGAGCATGGCCGAGCCTGAGACCAGCACGAAACACACTGATACCGCCATTTCCCCCATCCACGAAAAAGACGAGCATGAAGCCAGGAAGGAGAATGCTTCTCCGGTTGAAGAAAAGCCCCAAAAGTCCTAAGCTACCATAACGAACATCAGCTGGTTTCACAACCATACTGCATCAGGCCTTGACACCACAAGCGCCTCCATTTCGAAACTGTGTCGACATTGGTTTCCTTGTTGTGGAATTGCACTGCATAGACGGTCAATATTTTTGACCTTTACGAACTTTCATGAGAAACGATCACTGGGCGTTAGCGGAAATGCTCATTTGAAGAAGAAGAAACCCCTTATCTTTGTAATGGCACTAATCTGTGGAGGACAGGCCGGCCGTTCCGGCCGTTGCTCACATCTTGGAACGTGCACATATTTGTATGGCCTCTGGATGAGCCGCAGTACATGGATACACACTTATAAAAGCAAGAAAGTGGCAGGCTCCAAGCATAGAGATTGAGTTGACAGGTAGACCTAGAGAACAGTATCAAGTCTTAACATAGAGTCGTCTTAAATATGGCATAAGCTATTCCCTTTTGTGCACAAAAAACACTCGCAACTCCCGCTGGTTACTTACCTTTCTTCCAGATTTCAAGCTTATTGGACCAAGGTGGTTGATGTAGAGCTTTCTGAATATCTTTGGCCTGTCATTCACCGTAGGAGATAAAGAGACAAAGGTAAGTGGCACCGCCACTTATTCATCCCAACTCATCCGCGCCACGAGAAGGGTAATTTGTGCTCAAAGGTGGCAAGGTAGATAGCAAGGCTACTTGTGGCGAAGAGCTTTGGTTTTGAGGCTCATGCTCTGCGGAATTTATGCAAAAGATGGGATGAATTGTTACGGAGTTGGGCAATGATGGCGAGTGGGATTCGAGCTGGTGAGTTGAGGCGCATGGTTATCAGATGAGGGTACATGTAGCTTTCACCTTTCTAGCGTGGTATTGTCGACTGATGAGATCGTTTTCTGAAAATGGCTACTAATACTACTACTTTTTTGGTTGTCTCCTTCCTATAGGCCAAGACACGTTGGGCTGCGCGCAAAGAAACAAACATGCACGGGATAGCTCTGAAAAGGTTCATGATATGCAGCTTTAGACATCTCTCTAGATTATTGAAATAATTAGAGGAATGGGCTTCGCATATTAGTTTGGGGAGTTCAATCATGAACAATTCAGTATCACCCGTTGAAGCGGAGGGCATCCCGGTGCCGCCTAGCAACGCCACAGTCACCAATTACGGAGGAACATTCCTTGACTTCTACGCCTCGACGGCGCCTAGTACCGGGCAGCCATACCCCATCGGGACTCTGAATTCGACTACTAGGCGGATGCGAGTGCGAGCCGGGTGAACCTAGAACGACTAGGTACCTACCTTAGTATGCTCGCCGCCACTTACACTCTGACCCTCTACCACGTACGTCCCTTGCTATCAATCAGGATTAGAGATGTTGTGGAAAAATGTATGCAAAAGAGACGGCCTGATTCATATCAGATAAGAGAGATGTCGAGTGCGAGAGCCCGTCGTCATCTCGCGAATATTAGACGAATGAAGGGGCGCGGGGTGAAAGTCTATCCGATAACGCGTGTCGCAGAAACATCCCATAGGAGCCTTTCGCCAGCCACACACATGCCCTACCGTGGTATACTTCTCGCATCGAGCCGCGACGCCTTCATCTGAAGTTTTGGGTGTATGTCGGACCCCCGATTTCGATTCGACACTGCCCTGCTGTTCTATGCTGTCGTATTCGCTGGGGCCTATGTTCAGCTGCCCATGTCTTCGCATCCCTTCGTCATTGCTCACATCATCCTGTGTTGCCCCCCGGACCCCGACCCCGATTTCTAACCCCTCCTCGGAAACAGGTTAACATTGACAAGTCTATATCAAGCTTGACTCCCGGCTTCGTTCTCTGACTGCAGCTTCCCTAGAACCACAGTCTTCGAATCAAACAACAACAGCAAACACCACGTCCCCTACTACCACAAATCACAATCGCTTACCAACAGCCACACCTTCTAGTCTTTTCCTGAAAAAAACAACAAAAATGTGTTGCCGAAGACGCCGCGCAGCCCGCCAAGCCTGGCTTGAACAACGCGCCCTCGCAGGCGGTCCCCGCGGCTGCGGTGGCCCCCGCCACTTCGGCCCCGGCCCCGGAGGCCCACCCTTCCGTCCGCCCTGGGCATCAGGAGGCGGCTACGGCGGCGGCGGCGGCGGTGGTGGTCCCCCCTTTGGCAGATGGCGCGCCATCCCACAAGACAACGTCCCCCAGGACCCCTTTCGAGATCCTCCCGCCGCTCCTCGAAACGACCCAGCTACTAGAGACCCGGAAAAGGGAGGCATTAAGATGAACGTTAAGGACGTTGAAAAGAGCACGCCCGCTCCCTCCGCCCCCGTCCCTACTCCGGCTCCAGAGGGTGACTCGAAGAGGGTTTCATTCATGTCTGGTCCGTTTTCGCGGTGGAGGGAGTCCGTGAGGAGGTCGTCTTCGAATGCGACATTGCCTCCTAGATATACCTCTGGCGTCACCGAGGCGCCGCCGTACTGGAGCGGTGAGCAGGCGGGGAATAGGCGGTCCTTGCCGCCGGATTACGATGTGGCGATTAAGAACTGAGGGAGAGGATGACTTATAGAGGATATATGACGGGAGATATTGTAGCGTTATTGTAACGTGTCATGTGGACAACGTTGATGGAGTTTGGTTTGCGTGTAACAGGTAGCAAATGTATACAGAGTTGGAAAAGGTTATATTGTTCTTTACAATATTACAGAGAATTATACGTAGTACGTTGTTTGTCGCAATTGTTCGCACTGGGTATTGTAGAGCGTGAATCCAAAACAAAATGAGAAAAATCCTTCCAACGCCCTGCACCGTCGCTCTGAAAATGAAGTAATTAATTGTACCGTGTCCCACGTATAGTAGAGCAGAAGAACGGTTCGTTCGCCGGGATACTTAGAAGACTCAGACTCAGACTCAGACTCAGTCTCAATCCCAATCTTCGTACCCGCCAGCTCCGTAGGGATTCCACTCCTGGCCGGGGTAACTCGTCGCGCTCATCTGGGGCACATCCGCCGGCTCCTCTTCTTTTCTGTACTTGACCCCTCCCGACGACAGCTCCTCGTACGGGTCGACCAGAATCTTCTCCTCCTGGGCCTCGCGCCGCATGGTCCTCTGACGTTCGTCTTCCGTATCCTCCAGCTCGGCTCTCGTGCTCTTGCCCCTCGCCAGGGTCGTCGAGGCCGCGGCGGCGCCTGCGCTAGCGCTGCCGTTGGCGTGACTGGCGTTTCGGGGCGCTTCGTCGGCAGAGCTGTCGCTGACCATGCTGTGGCCCGTGTTTGCAGCGACTATGGGCTGTGCTGCTGCCGGCGGCTGAGAAGGATTAGAGGGCAGAAGCGGTGTGGATTCGTAGAGATCATTGTTGTCTTTGGGTTCTTGGTTTGCTTGCTGCACGTTGACACTGAGGCGAGGTGCCGTGGGTGCTGATGCTGGCGCGGGCACTGGCGGTTCAGACGATATGATGTTCTCCGCCGGCCGTTGCTTGTCGTCGGAAACACTACGGAAGTTGTTTCCCATGATACTACCAGCATCGATTGCAAGCCCTTGCGTCTGCTGAGCGTGCTCCTGAGGATGGGGAGATGGAGGCTTGTCATGCGGGCTTCGGACCACATTACTGGCATGCGTTTGCCCTTCAGCAGAGTTGGTCTGTTGATTCCTCTGAGCCTCTCTGCTATTACTTTGATGCATATGGGGAGATGCTGCGACTGGAGCTGGCGTATCGACTAGGGAGTATCGTTGCTGTTGAGGCTGTTGACTTGGCGGCATGGTTTGCTGACCAAATTGCGAGTCCGGACCCGCGATACGGCTGTCGTCTTGGTTCACCAACCGTATTCCTCTCGGGTCTTGTTGTGGCTGATGTTGCTGATTGGGAACTGGCACATCACCTTGCGGACCGACATGGGCCGCCTGCGTGCTATGGCTGGCGTGCGAAATGTTGGACTGGTGGGAGGCCATGCTCACGCGCCGATCACCCTCGGGCCATGCGCCTCCCTGTGGATGGCTGTGAAGCAGCTGCTGTCCTTGCTGTATGGGAGGGCTGGGGTGGCTGTACATTGACATTTCGGACGGATGCCTTTGAGTAACAGGAGGCTGGCCCCATTGTGGCACCTGCGGTGAATGGTACGCAGGATACTGAACCGGTGGTGAGGTGCGTGAGAGGGCGTAGGGAGATGGCGCTACGCCTCCTTCACCGTGAACGGCATCATATCCTCGAGGGATAGGGACTTGGTCGTACTGAGGTTCAACGTAAGGTTGGGGGTTGGCGCGTACGCTTCCACCTGGCCCAGGACCGTTCGGAATTGCCCGAGTCATAACCGGTTCGAAAGGTACGTCCTGTTGGCTTGAGAATCTTCCGTTGTTTTGCCGCATCGCTTCGGGGCTTCTGCCAGCCATGTTGTGTTGAGGGAGAGGTCCTTGCTCAAAGGAACCCATGGATGGGCGCTGTTCTCGGTACATGTGATGAGGTCCTTGTTGTGGTAGGTGATTTCTCTGTGATAACGGAACAGCTGGCGGCATCCTTTGCTGACCTTGGCTCTTGTGAGACTGCTGCAGCTGCGGTTGCGGCTGCATGTCTTGAACCTGGCTTGGATATGGCATCTGCTGTTGAGGTCGAGGTTCTGGCTGCTTGGATGATCGCTTGAACGCACTGAAAATGGACTTCGTTGTCGATTCTTTCTGGGGGCCTTGGTTAGGCCGAGGTTGTGGCTGTGTTGAGGTCCTGTTCTTGAACCACTTTGATACTGGGTTCTGTTGACCATCTACGCTCGAGTCTTGACCGCTAGACTGCATGTCTTGGCTTTGGGGGAAAGAGAGCGAAGAACGCTGATTCGGTGGGGGAAACGCTTGAGAAGATTGAGCTGGAGGTCTGTTTTCAGCATCAAAGCCCTGGTGCTGATGCTGAGGTGGATGTGGGTGCTGTTGTTGTTGGTGTTGGTTTTGATGTTGGTTTTGATGTTGAAGAGAATGCTGAAAGAGCTGAGGCTGCTGCTGCTGCTGCTGCTGAGGACGTCCTGGAGAAGCCACTCCAGTCATTTGCGGACCCGTCCCATCGGGCTCCTGCATGTTGGCAGGTCGACCAGGCTGCGACTGCCCCTGAGACGGGTCCTGTCGAGGCGCTCGACTTTCAGATGCCAAAGGTGCCCTCGGAGCCGGCATCTGAGTAATGGCCGCCGGTTTGGGCGAGTTCGATTTCGAGGACTGTTGCGAGGTATCAGACTGGCCGACGACTCCATTGGGAGATTGTGCCCTGAAGTTGGAGGAGGGAGACAACAGCGACGCAGATTGCTCCGAGATTCGCCTGGCGTGACCAGACTTCTGGACGCCGAGAGTCTGTTGGTGATTGGTGCCTTGCCCCTGGCCCAGAGGCGGTGTCTGGGGCCCCGGCGAGTTCTCGCGTCCGTAGCTGTGTCTGATCGATGGCTCCGGCGTTGGCTCGGCCGAGAATCCGGGAGGAACCCAGTGGGTTTCGGTCTGGTCGTCTGACAGCTCAGGGCGCGAGAGTTGCTCCTCGGCCTGCAGAAATGAAAGAGAAGGCTGTCTCTGCTCAGTGAGACGGCGGCGTCCCGGCGATGGTTGTTCTCTCTGTGATGGGGGCGCCGGAGCATTAAACGATTGTGGGGGATGTGACTCCATATTCAACATCTGACTGGACTTTCTCCGTGAGACATGTTCATCATGCGCTTCATGACCAGGCGCGATAGGGGCTTCACGGCGTTCGCTCTGCAAGTCTGACACCGGGCGTGTTCGCGCTTCTTCCAATGCGGGGCTTCTCTGTTGATCTGTCACAGCAGCGAATTGCTGCGACGGTTGAGGAGAGGGCAAGACAGACCCGTTGGACTTTCTCTGATGAAGTTCAGGTCCCTGAGGCTGGGACTGAGGCTGAGGTTGAATTCGTGCGCCAGCTCCCGGGTGCATGGAAAAGCCTTGGAAGCGAGGCGACTCCTCCTGTTGCTGCTGGCCGAACCCCTGAGGCGGGCTCCGTATAGGCGGCTGGCCTTCATCCTCGCGCCTTGGTCCAAGGTTTGACGGCGGTAGCTGTTGACCAGTATGCTGCTGCACTCTGAACTGCGCAGGAACACTTGCGTTCTGGTCCTGTCCTTGAGGTAATCCATGCTGGGTCTCGGTCGGCTTGTTGGCGGCGCGTTTACCAAAAAGCCCAGAGAAAAACCCGCCTGCTGAACTTCTTCTACCTCGTTCGTCATCTTCGACATTGCCCAACGGCTTATTCACCAGGGTTTCCTGTGCAAAAAGTTGGTTTGTGCCAGTGGTGTTACTCCTCTCTCTCCCCTGCGCGGCTAAGGGGCTAGGTTTGCCAGGTTGACTTCCCTGCGTGCTTGGCGGGCGACCAAACATGGTCGAAGTCGTAGTGGAATGTGATGTACTAGGTTTCTGTGGCACCTGTAAATCCTGCTGACTTGAACTACGAGGGAACACCTTGCTCGTAAAGCCGGAGAACCGCTTCTTAGGAGGGCCCATTGCTCCGCCTGCAACTTCATATCCAGCAGTGGACGTTGACGAACGAGACAGGTTGGGCATTGGGAAATTGGCGGATTGATCGGCACCCGGACCGAAGAATGACCGTTTTCTCTCCGCGGGCCCTCCCGGTGGTGGTTGCTGAACCTGGGACGGGCCGCCCGGGTTCGGGCTCGCCTTTGGTGACGGCGAAATCCCTTCACCACCATCACGGCCCTGGGGCCCTCCCACATCCGAAGGTTTAGAACCTCGTAAGTTGAGGAAGAAGCTTGAACGTCTTCTCTGGCGGTCTTGCAGCTCTCCTGTGGCAACGCTAGCCTCGGACACGGCATCACCTCGCACGTCTGGACCAGCCATGTAGCTTGGTGCTCCGCTCTCGGCCTTGGACGCTGGGCGTTCCCGCGAGGTGTGACGCGAGATGCGACCTCCGATTTCTTTGAAGAAGCCAGAGCTTCGCTTGCGCCCACGCTCTTCATCTATTGAGGGATCGAAGCCGCTGACTTCGGAGTCGCCAGTTTGTGTCCTGTACAACGAGGTAGAATCGCGGTTGTAGAAATGCTGACCAAGGTCTTCCGAGCCTCGTGGCCCTGTGGGAGAGCTGGGGTTTTGATATCCTGCTTGCGGGGTGAATAGGCCTGGATAACGCTGCGCTGATGAAGGAGGCACTTCAGAGAACTTTTGTCTAGGGGGTAACTGCGTCTCGGGTCGTTGCGCCGCCGTTGAAGGCACACCAGTCTCTTTATCGATCCCGAAGGAGGTTTGCTGGTGAGGCGACAGCGATCCTCCCGACTGCCGGTTTCTGCTGGTTGCCAGTGGCTCAGACAAATGCGACTCCTCAAGCTTCCATGGGCCTTGTGGAGGGAGGTGATGGATCGGGTTGCCTCCGAAAGTTGGAGACATAATCCCTTGATGAGGAGGCATGCCTGGACCATAGGGCGGACCGCTCGTTCGACCCTCATTCTGTTGCATCGCTGCTCTTGTGTCAATGGGTCCTGGTACACGGCCGGCGCCCTTCATTGCTACTCCCGGCCCAAGAGGTCTCTTTTCATCATCAATTCTGAGGTCCTGCCCTGTCATCCCACTAC